GCGAGCATGAGATTTGACTGGAGAGGAGTTGAGATCTTGCTTGGAGATAGGAACTGGAAACAGAAGTACGGATTAGGGGGGTTTTCTCAAAAAAAAGTTTTTTTTTGCGGAAGATAAAAAAATTTTTTCATTATCTGCCTGAAGTACCAGACGCGAGTCAGTTTGGCGCTAGCAACAAGGGGGGAAGTTTTGTCACGATACAACGGAGCTGTCCCCCTCCCCCAGAGGCCTTCCCCCCGTACTGCACTTGAATGATGCGGACAGACACCCCCAGGCAGAAAAGTGTGGACAGACTCACATCCATCGGGAACGCACTACGTCACCGAAATAGAAGGCGCACGCAGCCACCTAACGCACCGTACGAGGAACAATCTGCGAAACGCCGCCGCCCCTTCCCCCCTCTCCCGCGACAGCTACCAATGCTAAGCTTAGTTCGACCGGGTTGAAGAAGGAGATGGAAGGGGAGGGGCTAGACGGTTGGAGAGGCGGGGAAGGGAGAGCCGAGGTGGTAGTTTAGGTCTCAGAGGCTGCAAAGAAGGGGAGGGGGTGGGGCTTCTGGTTGAAAAGAAGCTGATGTCATGTTTGGAGTGGAAACTGCGAGAAGGGGCGGAGCTTACGCGGATTTCCCTTGCTGCTTTGACCAGCGCTGCATTGTCTGGCAGTCACCCTGCTGACGGTCCTAACGTTCGTTTCATCTCCTCAAATTTGGGTTATTAAACCTTCTGCTATTAAGTGAATGGACTTCATTTAAAGTTGCAGTGCTGAAATGTTAAAAAAGCTCTCATCGTTCGAACGATAGTTGGAGGAAGAGGCACTCGTCTGCTATGGCATTGCAAATGAGAATTCGCGAACTGGACGCAAATGCCTGGACGCATCACAACATTTAAAAAAGTTCTGAGCGCTGGACGAGGCAAGTTGCCGGATTTTCGGACCGGAACGAAAGCAATATTCCATTATGAAACGTTGAAACCGCTGGTGAATGTGGACAAGGAGGGTTTCCCGGATGCAAGGTTGGTTTTTTGTGTATATCCACTTTTTCCATAAGTCTCTGGAAGTCAGTTTTTGAAAAAAAAAGTTTTTTTTGCTTTCTTTCATACTGCTAAATCCTTTGAACTTAACATCGTAGTTGGGCATACCGTTGGAGATTTCATCGAAATCCAGTTAGCGCAAAAACTGTGACGAATGGAACTGACAAGAGATGATTTGGATCAACTGAAACTCGATGCTCCAGTGAAGATTCTCAGTTCTCTGTCAAGATGAATGGTACTAAAGTATTTCTGACTAATATAAAATGCCTCCGGTGCAAATGCATAAAAAATTAGCGATTTTGCAGAGACTGTTATGAGTCAATAGATAATACACGAAAACCGTATCCAGATGGTTACGGCAAACCGCTGGAATTGGTATTC